CTGATTCGTTGCACCCCTAGTAGGTAGGTAGGTAGGTAGGTAGGTAGGTAGGTAGGTAGGTAGGTAGGTAGGTAGGTAAATTTAACAAAATCGAATGAATCTAGATGGCCATTTTCATTTTTGCCAAAAAGTGGGCGTGGCTCGAAAGTAGGTCGACTGGCGTGCTCCAAAATAGGACGTGCAGATCTCTCCCATAGGAGTAACAACTGTATGCAATTTGAAACATGTGGGTCAAACGGTTCTTGAGTTATCGTTGACCGTAGGCAGACACTGAAATGCATAGTGAAATTGCCAAAAATCTACCTAATTTGCATAATTAAAAAAAAACCGGTGTGATATGTATTGGGGCCAGTCCTTATTCATTCACGTACCAAAAAATGAGCAAAATCCATTGAACCTGAACTGACTTATGGCCGTTTCCATTTTTGCCAAAAAGTGGGCGTGGCTCGAAAGTAGGTCAACTGGCGTGCTCCAAAATAGGACGTTCACATCTCTCCCATAGGAGTAACAACTGTATGCAATACGAAACATGTGGGTCAAACGGTTCTCAAGTTATCGTTGACCATAGCCAAATGTTGACGGACGACGAGACGACGCCCCATGGCAATAGCTCATCTTGACGATGTCAAGGTGAGCTAAAAATGGCTGCAAGAGAAGAAGAGAAGAAGAGCCCAGGCCTCGTACCTCAACTTCTCATCCTCATTTAGTTCCTGCAGCCATTCAGCACCATTGACTAGTGTTAGCTCATCCTTCAACAGTTGGTTTTCTTTCTTCAGTTGGGAGATGAGAAGGAGTGGGTCCAGTTCTTCATTTAATACGACTTCATTTTTTATCATGGCCACTCTCTGTGAGAACCTGCACGTGGAAATCGTCTCCTAAAAATTAATAACAGGAACATGATTTCATTACTCTCATCCTGTGAGTGTTGATATCACTGATAATATATATCAACATCTACACAAACTTCTATACAACTTGTTCCCTACATAAGATTATAATACATTTCTACGCAAGACATGTATCACAAATATACAATAAATACATGGTTATTTATCATGTATTCCTGATATTATCATTGGTGCACTTCGATGCCCCTTAAATATTAACTCTGCGCACTAATTTATTTTTGCCGTATAAACCTGCTACTAGTGCGATCGCACCTCAAGATTCCTGGTGTCACAGGCAAGGTTAGCTAACATAGTTGTCATGCAGTTGCCACCAAGGCTATCTCTCAGCATAGATGTCATCATGGAGTTTCTATAGGGAACATGAGAGCGTGATCTCTCAGACAGGGCAATGATGACCTGCAACATGAAACCGAATAACACTGCTCACAATTTGTGATCCAATTTCTATCTGTAGAGTGCTTGTTTACAAGGACACCAAGATCAATTTAACCTATTATAACTAGGTTATGTATATTCAACACGTATACTATTTCTACAATCAGACACATGGAATGCGAAACAACAGTAGAGAAAATAAATGACAATAACTTTACATGCTAGATATATAGATTCTACAAAAGAATGCTCCTAAAACAGACCAGATATTATCTGCTGATTGTTCGACAGGTGATTACTGCTGAGTATTACAAATACCACAGATCCTGAAAATATTAGCATATGTCATAATGTGTGTGCGTGTGTGCGTGCGTGTGCGTGTGTCTTACATGCATATTATTACTCTATGTGCAATGACAAGCAGTAATCAATTATGAGGACTACACATTTACTTGCTCAAGATAATGCAGAGAAAGGTTGATGTATTTGGCTTCAGTCAACAGCTGCCCAACCACATTGCTCTTGTACACTCTCTCTGACCTGAACCAATAGCAGGAAACTGTAAATACCAATATCAATATATTGCACGAAACAAATATACTTATTCGTAACATAATCGACTAGCAAAGAGATTGCGCAGATTGCATATCCTACCTGCAAAACACTCTTGTAATTCCATCATATAATGCAACTGCCTATGCCAAATATTACCCAGCTAAATCCACCAGGTTGAGCTTTGCTTTGCGCAGCGTGGCTGAACCGTTTTGCCGCGCTGTGATGTGGACGGTGAAAATGCAATGAGACCGAGTGGATGCTTGATTCATGGGCGTCTGGACAAAATAAAAACATCACATCTGGGTCATTGAGAATATAAAACGAATGAAAATAGTTCGAGAATCACATAAATTGTGTATAGGAACATGAACTTCGTGCAGGCTTAGCCAGCCACTGACTTTATTACTACACATTAGGAATTCCTATAATATACATCCGAAACAGATGTTAAAATAGACATTCACTGTACTACCAATCTTATAGACAAGAACTTAGAAGAGTATTAATTCATTCTACATCTGTATCACAAGTCATGAAATAAGCACAAGTTTCAAAATGCTCGATTTTTATGTTAGCTGAGAGGCATTTATAATTTGTGCATTTGAAACAGCCCATATGTCACCTCGGCTATCATGCGGTTCGTATCCCCAAGGAATAGAAGATTGAGTGCCTCCTCTTCGCTGCTTGCAGGATGCATAGACAAGTTGCGAAGATGGATGTTTTGGGATGAATCTTCCATAAGTGTAACTCTTCTGTGAACGCGACATGTTGTGTAAGGACAACATGGCATTGATGAGGAATACACATGCAGAGCTATACACAAGCATAACATACTAGTCTAACCTGTGGGTAGATATAATAGCATCGGTGGATAATTAATTTACATTCTGCGTGTTATTTGCGTGTAACTTTGTGTTGGCAGTACATAAATGTTAGTCAAAATTACAGTGCCATACGTGATTGCAACTGTCATGGGTATAACACGGCACAGACTAAATCAATAAACACTGCAAAGAATTTTAACATAATGCTAGGGGCACACGAGCGATTTTTATCGCCCGATCGCGGCGATTAAAATTGCCAGCGAATTTAATCGCCCGATCACGAAGGGGCACACGTAGCGATTTTTATCGCCCGATCACGAAGGGGCACACGTGACGTAGCGAATTTGAGAGCGCTCGATTACGCCACTCGACAGAACATTTAACATCACATGATATCAACAACACGTCCGATTGGTTTAGAAAAATCGATCGGGCGACAAAATACGCCGGTCACGGGCACACGAGCGATAATAATCGCCCGGCGTAAATAATCGCCCGAAAATATCTAACATTTTGGATACGGGCGATTCGGTCGGCCGATTAAAATCGGCGTCGACGTGAACGGGCACACGGGCGATTTCTTCGAGCGATTTCAAAATTCGCGGCGATCGGGCGATAAAAATCGCTCGTGTGCCCCTACCATTAGTATAACTCTCCTGTGTATATTGACAAGATAACATTGTAGCGAGTGTGAAAACATTTGTTATACATTGTCTTGTAATTGTTGTATGTGTTGACTGTGATACTCGCTGTACCATACATAGGTTCATGATACGACCTAATTAGCATGATTAAAGATGTAAAAGTTAGCTATACGCAGAACACGAACAGACACAGCCACGAAGGCGCCTGCGATAATAAAAGGTCCATTTAAGGTGTGCGTCGAGCATCACAATATCTTTATTACCCGACAATAAAATGATTACGCTTACGGCAAATCCTCCAGCTTGGACACTTCATGTTTGGGGTCGAGCAGGTCATACCCATTCTCATTATAAATCTCCAGGTAAGAGATGCTGGTCGAGTAGCTACTACCTGCATTCTGATAAAAATTGTACACAGCTGATTTTCTGATGACTCCACCGACAGAATTAACTCGTCATGAAAATATCGATAGGATATCAATGATTCTCCATGAAAACTAGTTGGCAGGCGCTTCTAAATAATACGGTCTGATATAAGTAGCAGTAGTGATTGAGACAAAACTCAGCAACTGATGCGTCCCACACAGTGCCCTTGTATCACCAATGATCACCTACCTGCCTATATGTACCCGAATAAATATGAACACTTTAATATTTATTCATTGGGTTATGGAAAAGCAACACCTAACCCCTACATTAACATTAACAATGTATATCTCACATTTTTGGTATATATAGAGATAAACGCTAAAAATTTAATAATACTCCAAAAACCTACGCAACCATCAGTTCAAGCTATAAACCAGTGTTCGTTAAATTTTATAACATGCAGTTCATATATTTAAAATCCCGAAGCAGTTTGAATTCCATACGTTTTAAATTTAGGTCAAGTGCTACAACCGGCCGCGCCTCTATGTAGGTTACTAAAAGACGCGTCAATGTCTTTAGGTCACTAATGACTGACTCTAGTGTGTTTATTTGCTGGTCAGCAGCTGCTTGTATATGATATATCTAGTCGCTTCCTGGTTTGCCTAGAGACTCTCAATAGCGAATGTAGAGGACGACGCTGTGTACAGGAAAGCATATACTAGTATGTTCACACATGCATGCATAGAGCGCATGCATTCACACGTACGCTCTTTGAAGGGGGATATAAAAGATGCAAACATGATTAAAATTGGCGTTTGCAAACCACCAACAATTTTGCCTGACCAACAGTTGAACAAACAATCAGTGGTGTATAGTGGTGTATATCTTATCTGGCACCTCTATAGTTATGAATCAGTGGTCGAATCTAACCATCAATATATCAATCCAACTACCAACTGGTGATTAAATTGTTATATCAGAAAAAGAAAACAGACAAAAAAGTGAATAAAACTTTTTAAAGTAATTTCCGAAATCCATGTCGAGTGTCGTTTTCTTGTGTCACGCGACGATCACAGCGTCACGCGACGATCACTACGTCACGCGACGATCACAGCGTCACGCGACGATCACTACGTCACGCGACGATCACAGCGTCACGCGACGATCAGCGATGGAGCCATCGTCGTTAGGAGTAAAGAAAGTTAGACACGTCGTGTGTTCGTGTATTGAGGCGGTAGACGTCTATCTCCGCGCAGATTCTACCAACATTTTACATTCACCTACTAACGTATACCAGTAGGCCTACGTAACGCACTATCGTAAAGTATACGTGCGACTCAGCGGCATGAACTTGTACCAGAAACCGGGAGGCTTGGTGTTTCTCGGAACATGATTTTATGAACACATCTATACGACTGTTATAGACTCGGCCATAACCGCGCAGCTAATAAAACACATGAACGCCGGTGTCACTCGGACAACGGCTGGCAACGAGCATTCACGGTAGTTGCACTTTAAACTCACTTAACTGACATTTCATACCACCATCAAAAACTCGTAAAACTTATGCTTTGTATAGTAGAACGGCACACTCGTGCACACAATGGCATTTCCAAGAATATATGAAATAAATTAAATAAAGAAATTCAAACGATAAAAAAGCGAATTGCACCTATATCAATTGATAATTCTGCGACGTAAAGTCGAACCCAATAATATTTAGATCAACCAATTAAACACGAGAATGCGACATATATGCGGCATATATATGACATACCAAATTCCCACTACAATAACGTTGTCCGTATGCCTTTATTTGGCTCGCTGAATGCTATGCTAAATACTAAGCAGCGGAGAGCATAGTTTATTGCTCTAACATCCCAAGCATACGAAGCTGTTCTATATGATGACACAACATTACGAACCAGCTATGGCTACCTGCCCTTAATATGGTCGTCCATGTCGCTGCAATAACAATGCAGCTGGAATGCACCAGAGAACAATATTTATCATATCTACCAATAAAAGAATTTCAGCAACTGACGGTTTCACGGAGTAAACAATAGCATTTACTATGTATGGAACACATCTATTTATATGCAATATCACACCTATTCGCCTAATACACCTATAAAAAAAAATCGTAACCATGATATACGTTAATATTGTACAAAAATTATAAGTAAGACGATAATGCAACAAAAGACACTTAATGGCCGAGTGTTTACATAATATAACGTGTGAAGATGTTGCAAATTGTAGATCAGTAATTGTAAATCAAGAAAACTTGTAATTGTGATAAAAAACACATCACACATCTTATGCCCAACCATATTTACATCATGCGCCCGACTATGTTCACATCATGCGCCCCACTATGTTTACATCATGCGCCCCACTATGTTCACATCATGACCCCACTATGTTCACATTCATGCGCCCCCACTATTTCACATCAGCGCCCACTTATGTTCTCATCAATGCAGCCCCACTATGTTCACATTGCATTTGCGACCACTATGTTCACATCATGCACCCACTATGTTTTACATCATTGCCACCCACTATGTTACTCATCATGCACCCCACTATGTATCACACCAATGCGCCACTGTTCCTCATGCGACCCACTATGTGTCACATCAGCGCCCCACTATGCTTCACATCATGGCACCCACTATGTTCACATCATGCACCCCCTAGTTTACATTCATGCACCCCAACTATGTCTCATCATGCGCCCCACTATGTTTCTCATATGCACGCCCACTATGTTCACATCATAGCGCCCCACTATGTTCACATCATGCACCCTAGGTTTACATCATGCACCCCACTATTTCTCATCATGACCACACTATGTTCACACAATTGCGCCACTATGTTACTCATGCGCACCCACTATGTTCAACATATCGCCCCAATCATGTTCAATCATGCCCACCTCACTATGATTCACATCACTGCGCGACCCACTATGTCACTCAATGCACCCCATGAGCACATCATGCCGCCCACTATGTTCACACAAGGCACCCCACTATGGTTCACATCATTAGCGCCAACTTGTTCACAGCATGCGCCCCCATATGTTACACATCATGCACCCCACTATGTTCACATCAATGCACCCCCACTATGTTCACATCATGCACCCCACTATGTTCACTCAATGCGCTACCCAACTATGTTCCACATCATGCCACCCACTATGTTCACATCATGCCCCCCACTATGTTCACATCATGCACCCCACTATGTTCACATCATGACATGGGTGTATAGAAGGGCGGGGTCGGAGGGCTCGTTACGACCCCACAAAATTTCAAAGTCACAATTTTTCAAAGACATTTTTTCGAGGGTTTTGCACAATGAACAAATGATAAAAGCAAGATTGATCAGGCTACCAGCAAATGAGTTCCAAGACCTTCCAATTGGCGATGACGCAAATCTATCCAATTCAGCCAATTCTGAAACTGAGCTCTTTTTTAAACACAATTTTTTGTTTAAAACTGAGCTTCAAAATAAAGAGAGACAAAGACAAGGACAAAGACAGACAAGATTAGCCAAAGACAAGCATAAACAGTTTCAAAAGACGTTTTCAAACTGAGTCAAAAAACCTTGTTAAAAAAACTGATAAAAAAAACTTCAAATTGTGTTTTAAAAACTCTTAATAAAATGTGTTTGTAACAAAAATTTATTTGGTTTCATTTAAATTGTATTACATTTTATCAGATCTTGCTGTTAATTTCAATTGTTGAAAGGTCCAAAAATTTATGATCGACCCCACCCAGAAAAATCCTGGATATCACAACCTGATGCACCCCACTATGTTCACACAAATGGCGCCCACTATGCTTCACACAGATGCGCCCCACTATGTTTCATCACAATGCCCACTATGTTCACTCATGCCACCCCACTATGTTCACATCATGCACCCCACTATGTTCACACAATGCGCACCACTATGTTCACACAATGCGCCCCACTATGTTCACACACTGCATCCACTTATGTTCACTCCATGCACTCCCACTCATTTTGCACATCCATGCACCCCACTAGTTTACATCATGCGCCCAAACTATTGTTCACATCATGCACCCCACTACGTACACACAATGCGCCCCACTATTTCCACATCATGCACCCCACATATGATCACAACAATGCGCCCACTTGTTCAAATTCATGCACCCACTATGTTCACATCATGCGCCCACTATGTTCACAATCATGCGCCTCCCACTTGTTCACACAATGCACCACTATGTTCACATCATGCGCCCACTACTTGGTTCACATCAAATGCCCCCACTATGTTCACATCATGCGCCCCCATGTTCACATCATTGCACCCCACTATGTTCTACATCATGCACACCCACTATGTTCCACATCATGCGCCACTATTTCACACAATGCACCATATGTTCACATTCATTGCGCACCCACTAATGTTCACATTCATGGCCCACTATGTTCACATCATGCACCCCACTATGTTCCACATCATGCCACCCACTATGTTCACAGCATGCACCCCACTAGTTACACATCATCACCCCACTATGTTCACTCATGCCCCACTATATTTTCCATCATGCACCCACTTTATGTTCACCACAATGCACCCACTATGTTCACATTCATGCACCCCACTATGGTCTCCATCATGCGCTCCCACTATGTTCACATCATGAACCCCACTATGTGCACATCATGCCCCCACTTGTTTCACATCATGCACCCCACTATGTTCAATCATGCGCCCCACTTATGTTCAATCATGTCACCCCCTATGTTACATCATGCGCACCCCACTATGTTCACATCAGCGCCGCCATATGTTCACATCATGGCGCCCCATATGCTTCACATCATGCACCCCAGCTATGATCACACAATGCGCTCCACTATGTTCACATCATGCACACCCATCTATGTCACATCATTGCGCGCCCACTATGTTCACATCATGCCGCCCCACATATCGTCACACAATGCACCACTATGTTCACATGCATGCGCCTCACTATGTTCACTCTGCGCCCCACTATGGCTTTCACATATGCCGCCCCACTATGTTCACACAATGCACCCACTATGCTTACATCACTGCGCCCACTATTTCACATCATGGACCTCACATGTTCACCATCATGCAACCCCATCATATGTTCACATCATGCGCCCCACTATGTTCACATCATGCACCCCACGTATTGTTCACATCATTGGCACCCA